ATCCATGAAGTGGGGAAGTGGGGGGACAAGATGGCAAAATCAGCATTGCAGTCTCACCAGTGCAAGCCCCGTTCCTTTTGTACATGTGTCATGATGTAGTATGCACATAGGAAGGGGGCAGAGCTTGCAGCATGACACCACAACTCTGATTTTGTCATTCTGACAAAAGCAGGATGCTTGAATATTTCCACAAATAATAGGCTTTTTGAAATTACTCTTAGATTTCTAAGTCCTGATTCCACACCACTGATATCTGAAATGGTGCTCCTGTGCAGAGGAATGACTTCTGATATTTGATTCAATTTATTTTAAAACTCCTACTAAATAATGTTTTATCTTTGCTGACTTTTACTACCAGTTATATACTGGTTCTGGGTTTGTGCCCTCCTAGAGCTTCTGTGTCTTCAACAGTTTTCTTGTTCACCACAGTAAAGGGGTGAAATATATTTCCCAGCACTTATCCCTGTTGAGCATACTCTCCATTTGTATAATCTTCTATAAAGGCTATCTCTTAGTAGTGGATGGACACTAATAATAGACTCCTTATGCAGTCCAAATTGCAAATAAGAAGAGTTACCAAGGTTTAGGAGTACTTCCAGACTTTGCAGCAAGACAAAGAAACCTGGAGATAAAATACCTAAGTGGAAGAGACTGTAAGGATCCACTGAGATGTTAAGATACTCAGAAGCCTCATCCAGCTGAATGCTTGCTGTAGGGGGAATGGAATCTGGGACTGGGAAAAGAAGAAAATATTCTGAAAACCTGAACAGGAGTATTCAAAACTGGAACACTGTATTTCATCGTCGCCATCATTCCAAATCCACTGTGGGATGAAGGCCTCTTCATTGAAGATTATGAACCACAATCTAGCACACTGGTCCAATGTAGGTTGGTAGACAGATGTTTTTTTGACCTTTGAGTCTAAGGCTGAGAGAGAGAGTGATTAGTCCAAAGTCACCCGGCCAGCTTCTGTGCCTAAGAGAGGACTAGAACCTGGTCTTCCTTGCTTAGTCCAGCACCTTAACCACTCCACCACACTGACTATCATTCCCTTGTGTCTATCTATTAAACAAAACAAAAAGGTAAATCTATAAATCTTGCATTTAAAATTACTAATTTAATTAGCTAATACCAACATCATCATCATCATTTAAACCTCAAGTAGACTTTATTTTCCAGTATTCTTTTAGCTAGTAGAGAAACCAAGTAATCTGCCATCTTCATGGCATATGACTTCAAATAGTTCCTTTTCATCCTCCACCATAAGATGATATCTTTCTTTCAATTTGCTTTTTATTCTGTTCATTTTAAAGGGATCATGATGAAGTTGTTTAACATGATAATCCTGCTTCTAATGCATGTTTTTTTTTCCTGAAAGATACATGCTAACAGGGAGATAGATTATTGTCTAGGGGCATCAAATATATAGATATAGATATATAGATACAATCATAATTATGGAATATCTGTGATATTATAATTTCAGAAGAAAATTATTAATGCTGAAAAGTGCTACTACTACCATTCATAAATAATATACAGAGACCTGTAACTAGCAAGTCATGGGAAATTATTTTACATAGAAATCCCAAACCACAAAGTACGGGAATATTGCCTGCAAAAGGGCATTGCGATGACGGAAGAAAATAAGGAACAAAATGTAAGTAAGTCATGAGAAGTAAACTATTTTGCTGTGATCCCCATGACATTTAATGTGAAGCAAAGTAAGTATTTTTCATGCTGGCATTTTTTTCAACCCTTTTTTACTGCAGTGGATGGAACTGAGGTTCAACACTTTGGCAAAGTGCCCACATTGCAAAAAAATGTAAGTTCCAACAAATGCCTCTATAAATCCTAGTATTTATAGGTACAGTTTTATTTCATATATTAGCTCTCAATTGGTGCACATAATTTTTTTAAAACATTTATAATGTTTATAATGTCAACTGACCTTTGCAGCCAGGGATATGGAACAGTTCATGTTTCGTATGAAAAATATACTTGCTCCTTTTTCATTGCAGTAATTAACTTCTGGAATCTGTATTTAAATTTATTATGGTTTAATCGTATTAGGATTTGTTATAACTTCTGTACTTCGTGAAATACTTCAGTTGATCAAGACTTAAAAACAGCAATAACAAAAAAATCCCAAATGAGAATCCCCCTGGAATAATAATAGTAACTCCTAATGAAGTTACTGAGCTGAGTGGATAGATTGTGTATAATTACTTGCAAATAAATAGTAACGCAATTTAGTTTATTTCTCCTGTTTGCTTGCTCTATCTTATCTATTTTGTGGAAAAGTTGTGAGTGATGCACGCATGTATTTATAGTAGGCTGTGCTGGATTTTCACTTTTTTTAAAGCTCAAAGTCCATGAATTATTATTTAGAATTACACTCTAGCAGATAGATCTGGTTGAAGCTGCTCTTCATACGGGCTGTGAATCAAAGTGTACGAGATACTTCAGTTCTGAGTTCTAAATACATGGTGCTATATACAGTTTAGAATGGAAATCTTATTGACTTTGTTATATTTAGAATCAGAATATAAAGTTGAGAAAGATAATACAAACCTGGTTTTATCATCCAATAAATGTGCTTGGTTCAAATACATTGTCAGCAAGGCAAAATTTGTGTAAAAATGGAAGTGTCAGAAATAGCAGTTCTAATAAAGTTAAAGCTACCTTGTTGATAGAAATTACATTTATCTTTTTAACAGTGGGAAGCCCTAGGGAAAGGCTAAAAGCCTCAGTTAATAGTGCCATGTAATGCTTTCTCTTCTGTTTGAAACTAGAACACTTGTTATTGAAATAAAACTGCGTAAGTCAATCAGTTTAAAGGCATTCCAGCAAGATTTAATGGGAAAAAACCCAGTCACAAGCTGGGCATGTGAGTCTTTTTAATTGATATCAGCCTTACAACTTTTGGATAATCACATAATGGTTTACTGTGTTATTGCTCTTGCAATTTTTTTTGGAATATCTGTAACCAAACAAATGATTAGAATTGTGGGAGAAAATATTTTTCACAGTGGTCATAGAACATAACTTTGAACCCCAAACAGTTTAAACTGCAGTTTTATCTTGTACACTCTTCAGTGAACCTTCAAAATCATTGTGTCAATCTATGTTTAATACTGGCTATGGAATACTGTTTATTTTCAGTTCATCTGTTGGATGCGCTCTCCCACGAAGACGGTGCTGTGCCTATATTACAATTGGAATGATATTTATCTTCATTGGGTTTGGATTAACTGTAAGTAACATTAGTGTTGGTCTTGTGATACTGAATCAGACATATAGTACTTCTTCAACTAATGGATTGTCAAAAGTTTGGGAATCAGTTCTGCCCCCTAAAAATCTAGAAAATGCCCAAATGCAATTTAAAGTTATCAAGATTTTGCCTGCAGGTAATACATTAGCATTTATGACCCAAACTACATGGGATAGCAGTTGTCCTGTGTCTGATTAGCTGTGCTCCAACCAGATCTTTAATGGGCATGACAGTGACCTCAATTGCCAAAGGGTGAATGGATGCTACCCCTCCCCATGCACATTTTCTCCATACTAGGTTGACTTCTGTTCTCCACGCAGCCCAAATACCACAAGAAGACAAATGTACACAAAACAATCCCCAGTCTGTAATAATTTCATATAGTGAGAGCAATCTTCCCTCCCACATTATCCAGAAGGGCCTTGCTTTTCCTTTTAGCAGGGAGGAAGTTTTAATATAGATATAAGATTCTAATTTATGTGGAAAGAAGTTAAAAAAAAACAACCTTTGTTAGACAATTTCTTCTGTATTTTGTATGTACAAACTCTTTTTGTCCTTGCTGATCTCAGCAGGAAGAAAGGAAGGACAGGCTAATGTGTGTGTTGTATAGAAGAGTATGGTTCCTAGTTTCCTTAGTTTTTGGTTCTGATCAGGAATATTAGCTATTGTCAAGTATCTATACAATTGCATTTATTTATAAATTACATCCATTCCACCATAGTGATTGGGGGTAGAAATTGTTTTTATTAACTTCGATTATAGTCTTGTGCACACTAACTTAAATCCCACTGAACTCAGAATTAGCAGTCATGACATACAATGATAACTGACCAAACTATATAGATAAGGTTAAAAAAAAGCTATTGAAAAGAAATAAAGTTGTGTGTTAATTATAAGTGGTGAAGCATACTAACGATAAAGTCATTTTCTAAATTAATACTCAATTTCATCATACTGTATCTTAAGAGATTCAAGAATGCTTCTCTGGAAAAAAGTACAGAAGGGGGAGAGAACTGGGATGGTACAGTGATAAATCTCCCATTAGAAAACTCTAATGGGAGATTAAAGCAAGTATTTCCATGACACATCCAGCAGAGAATTTCTTATATTCTTATCAGAACATATGTTTATATGCAACAATTAAGAGTGTGTTAGTGAGACTGGATGACTGGATAAAGTTGGCCTTTCTGAAAGTTCTTCCACATTTCGTTTTTGTCATAGAGCAACATGTTTTATACACGTTTTTTTTTAAAAAAACTAAAGTATTCTATGTTCCAAATCAGTTCAAGCAAAGTTGGGTATAATTGTATCAGAACTGTAAGAAGTCAGGCTATTTTGATAATATATCAGTTTAATAAAAAACTATTCAGAGACTTGAAATTGTATATTAACTGTGTATTTTTTCCCCATGTGTTTCTTCTAAAAGGTTGGTACCCAGGATTTTGCCAGAACATTTCATGCCACTTATGTTTCATGGGCTATTGCTTACCTCTTCGGCTTGGTCTGCCTGGTTCGAGCCTGCTACTGGGGAGCTGTAAAAGTCAGTTATCCAGAACACAGTTTTGCATAGACTTCTAATAGTATCTTATTGGAAAATGGAGCTTTCTAGAGAATCTGATGATTATAGGAGCTGAGTAATTTAAACAGTTTTCCTATTAAATGTTTCTGTTTTGTTACTAAGTTTTAAGGCTGGGGATCCTTTTAAGAACAAATGTTCATTGCACTACATTATATGCAAATAGTTTGTTTTGCTGCTAGATTCCCAAACTCTGAATACTAAAGCTTTGTTTACACAATTGTACATCTGTCTTAAAAGAACTGTTGAATTCAACTCCAATTTACAGTATTTTTCTTTCTGTATTAAACGTGCTTGTGCCATTTGGGGATGAATATGTAAAAGCAAGAAATATTTATATGTGTTTCTACAAGTGCTTCACATTTGTATGTACACTTTTAAAACTGTCAAAGCAACGTGCTTTAGAATGTTAAGCAATAAACATTTTGCTTGAACTGCTTAGTTTAACTTTCACCTAAGATCAGCGTGACCTTAAAGAGTGTGCATCATTTTCAAAAAAGTGGAGTTTTTCTTAGGGATATACTATCCTTTCAGATTTCCAGTTTGAGAAATGCAGTATTTTAGTAGGCTACTTAAAGAAAAAAAGTTCATTTATCCTCTACTGAAATTCAACTTGAATATTTTTTTTAAAATCTTGGATTTTTTTTTTTTTTAACATCCAAAGCCATGATTGGATTTCTGGAACTTCCCTATGGTTATTTGTATGAGTTCCTTTACAGGGTCTAAATAAGGGAAGCATTTGATATGACTTTATACATTTAGATGATTTTAGAGTGATGTTGGGCTATCTCTTAGTTTGTTTAGATTGCCATTTATTTTCCATAATGGGAGAATAACTCTCCAGTCATTATAAAGGGACATATTTATAGCTTTACGCAGCTAATATGAAATGAAATAGAGCAGTTATTCTGATCATTCCATCAATGTGTAGCTGGTTGGTACAATATTAAAAACTAATCAAGTGATAATAAAAATGATAGAATAAAAATAATAATTTTCTCAAGACTTGTTCACAAATAGAATATTGGGACCAGTTATTGCACTGACCAATTTTGAAGTTTTACAGAACATGGTTTTTTTAAAAATTCTGGGGGAATACCCTGAGCTTTAGATTATAGTAGTCCTTAGGCAATGGGAGTCAAGAAAGTAGATTAAAGTGGATTTTCTAGGATTATATATAACAACCCTGATTAAGGACAAAGCGATGCTTGGCTGAGGATTTGGAGCACAAAAAAAATAATAATCCTAAATGTACATGGAAGTTGTCTTTGTATAATGTTAAATGTACAAAAGCAGTAGCTCAGGTTTATCATGTACCTTTTAAAATATACTAATAAAGATGATTATTGAAAATGAATGTTTCTGATCTCATCAGTTAGTCTCTGAAATTCACATTGCTCAAGGCATTTGCCAACAAGTGCTCAGGACAACAAGGAACATACCAAGGAAGTGCATGTACTCTCTGAAGAGGATAAAAAGTGGATTCTGATCCGGTAAGGTTATACTGATTAATACTTGGAGACATAGGTTAAGCTTTATTAGCATTTAAAAGATGAACACTGTCACACTCAGTGTTTATTTAGATGTGGTGTTCTTTCCCTTTAAGAACACTTTTTTGTTTTTGTTTTTTAACACTGTGATCCATGGAGGTTTCTCACAGATACCTGAAGATTTCTCAACTAGTCTATCTGGATGCATGGAAGTATTCAAGACCCCCAATTAGTGGTAATTTTTAGTTAGGCTAACCCAGCTCTTTCGAATAGTTCTGGAAAAATTGCCCTTGCTCTCTCTAGTTCATGTTTTCCAGAGGGGTCCAGCTCCTCTTCTTGGCTCCCCCTTTTTGCACCAGCATGTAATGAGGCCACCCTTCTCTCCCCCCACCCCTGCCCTTTTTGCCAGCCCTCCTTTTCCTTATTAGCAATTTGGATTGCGTGCAAATTCCTTCTCCGGCAGAAGCCTTTTCTCCCACTGGCAAAAAGAGAGCAAGCAGGGAAAGCTCTCCATGCCGTTTTGGGCTGGGAAATCAATCCATCTTTCTTCCTGTGCCCCGCAGCAGCCTCCTTCCTGAGGGGAGCAACCAAGCAGGAAAATTCTCAATCCCGCCTAGGTGCGTCTTTTATACCCTACCCAACTGGTCTTATGGCATGGGAAAGGTGTTAGGCAGAGTGCAGATATGACCACATTCTATGCCAAAAATACACACCAGCGTTAGAGAGATTTAAAGAATGCAATGTCCTTA